TGTCCGGCGGTGTCGCGTACCTCAGACCCTCAGCGGAAGGCTCAGCCACCGGGGCCACCGGCTCTCCAGTCCCTTAGGCGTAGCACACTCCCCGCCTCCGAACTGGGGGAAGCCCCTTGCACCGGCTCCCCTCCCGTGTCCTCAGCGAGCTGAACCCCGCACTCGCTGTGATACGCATCTAATCTGCGCGGCCTTCCAGCTCAGGCAGGGACTCCCACGGGTGCAGCCTCAAATCCTCCCGGTGCTGAAGGAAACGCTTCCCACGCGGAGATGTCATAACTGGGTTATTCTTGGGTGAAGGGCTGAGCTTCCCAACCTCCCCTTTACTCCAGATAGGATATGAAACTCTACCCCCCCCCCACCACCTCTCCCGCCAAAAAAAAATAAAAACGAGAAACTGCAGTCAAGAAATTATTTTAATCCGTTAGTACAGTCAGCTTCCTCACCCCTCAAAACAAAAATCGAACTTCTGGTTGGACAGCGTCAGATGTCACTGAGGTGACCCCAGCATCTGTTTGCAGTTCCAAGTCTTCCGTGTAGGTGTCACTGCTACTGGTACTGGATGATGATGTCTGAACGTTTTCTATCCTTTCCTCACATAGAGGTAGCTATGGGGAATAGACAAGCTATTAAACAAGTGTCTCCAGCCCTAGAAGTCTCCTGTGGCAGGAAATGAGGGGGCAGGCCATATCAGTGATATTTCTATGAACTCTGGTTTACAAAAAATTCTCACTATTCAAGACTTCAACATCTTTCGTAACCAACTGTCTCCTATCATCCTCTCCAGACACATTCTAATCAAGGTCACCATCTCCAACTTTTCCCATAAATACACAATTGGTTACTGCTTGCAGGCCTCGGGGAGGAATGAGTTCTGCAATTTGGATCAGTAGCAGAAGCAGATAAACATATATGCCAGGTCCCTTGAAACAGCAAGGATGGACCGGCTTCCGGCATCAGCCTAAGACAGGAGGGGACAGAAAATGAAGTTTCTGATACATTCCTTCAGCTAAACTGCTCCCATGTCCCTTGTCTCCTATAAATGTCCATTAGTCTCCTTTGGAAAGAAAAAGGAATCAGGAAGCCTAAAGTTTATGTATGCATGCAAGATAGGGAGGGAATTAAGATACCTAAGGAATTAACTAACTTAAGACCTTTTTGCTCTGGTCTTGGACATTACATGATCTTTCATTTTCATTCAGTAAAGAAAATGGGCTTTGCCGAAACCGGTTTGGCTCAGTGGATAGAGCGTCGGCTTGCGGACTGAAAGGTCCCAGGTTCGATTCCGGTCAAGGGCATGTACCTGGGTTGCGGTCACATCCCCAGTGGGGGATGCGCAGGAGGCGGCTGATCGATGTCTCTCTCTCATCGATGTTTCTGACTATCTCTCTCCCTTCCTCTCTGTAAAAAAATCAATAAAATATATATTTTAAAAAAAGAAAAAAAATGGGCTTCTTTCTGGCTCTGGAGTTCATCTCATTTCCTCCTCCCCTCTGTAGCCTCTCCTACTTGGTTGCCTTTCAAACTGTGGTGAAAGTGAGCTTCAAGATTGTGAAAATTCATATTTAATGAAGACCATTATTCTAATGACAATATTGTGGGACTCTCTTGAATACCTTATCCTGGGATCTAGAAAACTTTCTCCATCAACTTTCTCCCAGCACCGCTGGAGAGGGTTTCCCACTAACAGGAAGTAGAGGTCAAGTGAAAACAGTTCAGTTCTCATTATTGAAGAGCTGGGATTCAGAAGTATCACACTTTTCTTAAGGAAAATGTCTAATTTTATCTCTGTCAATAGGTGAAACCAGAATTCCTGATTGCTCCCCAAACCCTCCCTTAAAAAGGAAATCTAACCACTTATTAAATTAAGATGAAGTTTTAAACCTAAGAACAATTATGCAAAAACAATCAGCTCCAACTGTTTTGAGGAATATAATGAGACCAGTAAGATCAAAGACTGTTTTTTTAGAAGGGGCATTTCTGCTTATCCTTAGGACAGACAATATGTCTAATCACAAACAAAATGAGCCCCTCCACAGACCATACTGGGGTCCAGTAAAAAGACTAAGGATGGGGGAAAAAAAGAGACTAGGGATGTCTCAAGACAGTAAATTTACCTTGATTATTGTAAACAATGTTCAGTGAGTGAATAAATAGTATTACCCTCAGATATGATGAATAACTAAAATGTTCTGTGCCTAAGCAAAAAATATACTGTGCCTATATTCACCCAAATAAAACTCAAGATTCCCTCCCTATCCTCTTTACCACCCTTATCCCCCTGCCTCAGCTTGTATAACCTGTCAACCTTTTAAGGCCTCAGTTTCCTCATCTGGAAAACGAGGACAAAGTAAATACCTATCTTATAAGGGTGATTTGCGGATTAAATGAGAAATATATGTAAAATGCTTAAGAGTATTTCCTAGAATATAACAGAAGCTCAGTAAAATGTTTTTATTGGTGTTATTGAGTGGTTCCCCATTAACAGCTGCATAAGAGCCAATTAATTAATCCTTTCTTTTAAAAATCCTCACCCAAGGAGTGAGGATATTTTTTCCATTGATTTTAAAAAGTGGAAGGGAGAGGGGAGGAGGGGAGAGGAACTTTGATGTGACAGACACATGAATTGGATGCCTTCCACCCCAATGGGGAGCAGGGATCAGACCTGCAACCCAGGTATGTGTCCTTGACAACCTTGCCCTGGAATCGAACCTCAGACCCTCCGGTGTGCAGGCCTATGCTCTAACCAGTGAGCTTGCTGGCTAGGGCTATTCCTCTTCCTTTGAAAGTGACAAATTTTTCCTCATGCCCTATCCCTCTCTCCTTCAAGAGCCCTAAGGTAAGTGGCCAAAAGGCTAATGACACATGACAAAGGAAGATGCCTATTAAGATTAGCTTTTCTAACGACAATTTTTAGCAGACATTAAAAAGCCACAGGATATTTCCTTCCTATATTGAAGAGGACTTTTAAATCCTATGAGTACATTAAGGATTAAGATTAGATTTAGAATCCTAGGAATAGAAAGCATCTCTGCTTCATTACCTGTCCCCACATAAGACCACTCAACAAACCAAAAACAAATCCAATCCAAACTTTCAGTAGAGAAGATCTAGTCAGAAGAAGCTTCAAACTATCAAGATACTGGACTAACTCATGAAAAAAAGCGACGACTGACAATTCACAAATCTAGTAAAAACCAAGACTGCAATATTTAGAAATACCAAAAAAGTGACCAGAAATGTTATCCTTCATTTCCAGCCTCAATACAATTGAGAAAAAGAAGCACACTTTACACTGGACCAAAGGGAAATCCCTCTCCTCCAAACAAAAACCAAATCTCCTTGAGAGGAATGCAGAAGTACTCTTCCCACCCCCTCCACTCTACCCAAGCTCCATAAACACACGTGAGGGCTTAAGCCAAATGTCTGTGGCCCATGTGGTCAGAAGTTGGGTTTTTGTTTCAATTATACTACCTAAAGTGGCATCACCAGTTATTTTTGTTTTAACTGTGAAGGTGAGGAAGGGGAAACAATAAAGATCTTCCTTCTTCCCTCCCCTTCCCCCCATAACTATTAAGTTCCTTGAGAGCTGGAAAATAATCACAGAGAACAAAAGAACAGGGAACAAATCTACCCATTTTCCTAAACTAGTAGTTGAGGGTTCTTCAATACTCTACTGTTCCTAAGAAGGGCACACACCCAATATCCCCAAAACAAGTCCAACGCCATGGAAACACATTTATCACCTTAAGGCTTCTTGAAAGAAGCGGCCATAAATCAATGCTAAGCCTATCAGTTCTATCCAGATAACATTTGATTAGAAATACTGACATTTTACAGCTCCTAAATAGTAAGCAAAATAGTATAGGACACAAGAAGGAAAGAAACTAAGGTCAAAAATACACCAAGTAAGAAATTCAATACAACTGGAAAACATACTCTCGGGCACCAACATTTCTCCTTTGGACACCTGTTCCTCCCTGCCCTCAAATGCCCCAAGCCCAGGGTAAAGGCTGAACTTGAAAAAGTTGATACTTAAAACGTCACTCAATTTGGTGGGTCTGAACTGAACTACAAAGTTTAGCTCAGTTTGCCCTAGCTGGTTTGGCTCAGTGGATAGAGCGTCGGCCTATAGACTGAAGGATCCCAGGTTCAATCCCCTACAGCACATGCCCAGGTTGTGGGCGTGCAGGAGGCAGCTGATCAATGATTCTCTCTCATCATTGATGTTTCTAGCTCTCTCTCCCTCCCACCTCCTCCGAAATAAGAAACCAAAAATCGGCTAATTGTCAAAAATAACAAATCATTGTATAAAGTTATTCTGGTACAGAAGTAAAGCTTTTTACAGTGTAGGTAAAGCCTCCAACTCAAACACATTCCACTGGTTAAGAGGAATGTAATGACACTAACCAGTATTGTGCTATCCAAATTACTACTTGTAAATGCTCTTGTGAAGTGTAGGTAGGGGGAGAGCAAAACCATAGATATATCAAGTGAATCCTCTTTACCCAAACTCCAGTAGAAACAGCTATTCAGTGTCTTCATCATACCAAATTTGGGGATAGTTCAGAGTTCGGAAAGGATTTTGTTTCTGGCTCTGTTTTTCTGATACTCCTTCCTCTCCCTTTCATTGGCTTAGATTTTTTAAAAGCTTCATTGGGTAAATCTGATTTTCAACTGAGGATCCCTCCATTCCTCGGTTGAAGGGGACAAGAACTATTGAAAACTGTGTTGAGGAATCTGAGTGAGGGAAGGGAGTGTGGTGACCTAAGACACTGATGTGATTATCACCAGACTACCTAGAGTCTAGGCCAGCCGTGGGCAAACTACGGCTCGCGGGCCGGATCCGGGCCGTTTGAAATGAATAAAACTAAAAAAAAAAAAAGACTGTACCCTTTTATGTAATGATGTTTACTTTGAATTTATATTAGTTCACACAAACACTCCATCCATGCTTTTGTTCCGGCCCTCCGGTCCAGTTTAAGAACCCATTGTGGCCCTCGAGTCAAAAAGTTTGCCCACCCCTGGTCTAGGCTAAGCTTTAGGAAGTCTGCTCCATTCTGGAAAGCAATGCCAAGAGATGGGACACAGGCCAAGACAGCATAAAGGCTGGCTAAGATTCCAAGAGAGGGAATTAATTCCTGTAAAGATGTTTCTTGACCCTGAGAAGTCTCTGAACTAGAAGCTGCCTAAAGTTCTACAATCATTGGGTCCTGGCATAAGAGCAGGTACAGGGGCCTGGTAAGCTCTATGGAGGGACAACAACCGTACTCATTTCCTCCTCAGGCTGTCAATAAAACACCAATACTACTACAAGCATTTCGCCTTTGGTTGCCTGAGCAGTGGCATCAAGCTCTCTGCTAGACTTAAAGAGGACCAGAATTCCTAGAGGGCAGGATAGATTTTGATTCGATAAACAATTTAGGATGGTACCCAGGGAAAAACGGTCAGATTCAGAACATGTGGATTTTTCCTTTGAAGTAACTTTAGTCTCTCTAACAAAACAAGGCCCTACTCAACTAGTTGACAGAATTAGCTCTCTACCCCCCAAGGCCTGACCCTGTCCCTGCTAACTTTGTTTCACTGATCTTACATAAGCATAGCCCCAACCCAGCTCCCCAGCTGTTTCCTCTTGTTTTTTCTAGCTCCCTCCTCCTCCCCCCTCCCCTGTTACTTTCTCTCCCCTTTCACTCAGCAGTGAATGCTTAGAAAGCAGGTGGCAAGTAGTGAATCCAAGCCAGTAAAAACGCTTCCTGAGCATAAAGGAATAAACCAATCCCAGAAACAGATATTCTGGGAGTTGGGATAGGTATCATTTCTGCCTTTTGCCTGAGGAAGTCCTTATAAATGTCCAATACACACAGTTATTATGCTGGGGCAGTTACTCTGATCACCTAGGCCCGTGGTCGGCAAACTGTGGCTCGCGAGCCACATGCAGCTCTTTGGCCCCTTGAGTGTGGCTCTTCCTAAGCCTTAGGAGTACCCTAATTAATAACAATGTACCTACCTATATAGTTTAAGTTTGAAAAATTTGGCCCTCAAAAGCAATTTCAATCGTTGTACTGTTGATATTTGGCTCTGTTGACTAGTGAGTTTGCCGACCACTGCCCTAGGCAAAGCGACCACTAACCTAGGCAAAGATTATGAAGGGATCCAAGTTGGTACTAATAATCTGATTAGCTCTCTTCACCAGAGCTAAGAAAACTGAAAGGGTAGCTTGACTACTAGAGGTAAGTTTGTGATTTATTTCATAGTGATCTTGAAACCAGAATTTTGGGATGGAAATTCTCCTGCAAAAACAGGGAGGGAGGAGGAGGAGGAAGGCACAAGTCCAACATGTCCAATTAATGTTTAATTTAGTGTCTCCTGGTGGATCCAAGTGCCACCTGGTAAACACTTGGTCCTAGAGATATAGCATGGGTGATTATATAGAGAATCAGCTCAGATAAAGCCCCCAGTTCAGGCTACACTAATTACAACTAAGATTTTACAAGATTTTGAAAGACCAGTCAGGACACCTCAGAGACTAACTTCCTAGTTCATAATATATTCTAATCAGTTTGAAGACAAAACGAAGACCGCCCCCCCCCTTAATGTGGACTCTCTCCTTAAAAAATAGCTCACGTGCAGAACTATTCTGTAACTATTATGGTTTTGCTATTTCAGTAAACATATTTATTGAGCACCCATTGAATGCCAGAAACTGTGCTGGTTACTGGAAATACTTTTCAGAATCTCCTCCAGTAAAGAAAAGTAATATAGACTAGTTAGACATTTGCACAAAGTGCTTAAAGAGCACTAGGAAGGAAGCAACTTTTTAAAAGGGGCTAGTTGTCGTCTTAATATTAAATCAAGACTTCACTTTATTGGTTCTCACATAAGTGTTAGCTCTGACACAGAACTGTCACCTAGGGTTGCAGAATATAGAAACTGATGCAGCCCTAGCCGGTTTGGCTCAGTGGGTAGTGTCAGCCTGTAGACTGACGGATCCCAGGTTTGATTCCGGTCAAGAGCACATGCCTGGGTTGTGAACTTGATCCCATTGTGGTGTGTGCAGGAGGCAGCTGACCAGTGATTCTCATCATTGGTATTTCGAGAATCATTGGTATTTCTCTCCCTCTGAAATCAGTTAAAAAATATATATATGTACATATGTATGTGTGTGGGTGTGTGTATATATATATAAAATCTCACACCTGATGCCTCCAAGGCTGAATACTCAGGGCTAAGTGTAATGCAGACGTTTACTGCAAACTGGAAAGTTATCACACATTGACTTAAAAGCTATCTAACCTGCCGAAACCAGTTTGGCTCAGTGGATAGAGCGTCGGCCTGCAGACTGAAAGGTCCCAGGTTCGATTCCGGTCAAGGGCATGTACCTGGGTTTCGGGCACATCCCCAGTGGGAGATGTGCAAGAGGCAGCTGATCGGTGTTTCTCTCTCATCGATGTTTCTAACTATCTCTCTCCCTTCCTCTCTGTAAAAAATCAATAAAATATATTAAGAAAAAAAAAAGCTATCTAACCTGCGGTGGTAAAGCAATTCAATCTGGTTTTATGTCGTGGATCTATTTTACTAATACAAATTTGTGTAGTTACCAAACAAATGCAAGTGTTTATAGACATTTACCCAGTTGTTTCTATGCTACATTTCTTTGTGGGGCTGCTGCCTAGAGTGCTAGCCAGGCTCTGGCCACTGCATGACCTACTGTCCTTTTGTGGTGCCACCCTGATTAGTAGGGGTCAAAAGAGGGTAAGGGCCTCTCTGACTCTGGCTGTGCACTGCACACTGGAAAGCCAGGGAGCTAAACACATCACTTTCTGGTTGCTGGGCTCCAGGTTATGGCCACTGTGACTAGATTAACTCCTGCTTTGGAACTGCCCCCAGAAACCAGGGTTAAAAAAATGAATCAAAGACAGCACCATGGGGCACCCTGGTGGCATCAGGTGGATATTACAAGCTATGCTCTAAAACTAATCCCCCTAACCTCCCCACTGGAAATGACTGGCTGGCTTTAAAAAAGCAATGCAGTAGTAAAACAAAAACTTGTCACCAAGAGACTTGGATTCAAGTTCTAGGCCATTTTACCATCTCTGAGCCTATTTCCTCAAACTGCAAAATGAGGCTAATACTATTTGAGGATTAAAATTAAAGTACTTTCAACTATTATTTTCAGTAGGAAAAAGGGTTTTTTTTTTGCCCTGGCTGGTGTGGCTCAGTGGGTTAGAGCATCAGACACCCATTGAAGGGTCTCTCAAACATTCCCCAGCCCTGGTAGGAATGAATGTGGGGGGCAACGAATCGGTTTCTCTCAACCCTCCTGCCCCCTGCTCTTTCTAAAAAGCAATGGGAAAAATTCCTTAGGTGAGTGAGGATTTAAAAAAAAAGAAGTATTTTTATCCCAAGTCCTTGCATTTCCTCCTTGAAGTTTTCCATTTAAAAAAGGCAGCAAAGTCACTACTTTGGGAATAAATCCAATCTGATCGGAGGACCACACTACATATGAGATCTAAGCTATGGGGTACACCTGCCTAGGATTTCATGAATCTATTTACATATTCACATTTATTAAGGTGTGTACTAGGATACTAGACATGAAAGAAGTGTTAGAAAGTTAACAGTCCTTGCTCCGAAGGTTTACCATGTAGTTGAGGGAAATGCAACACATATATTAAGACAACAGCTTAGAGTTCATTAAGTGTATGAACTACATGTCACTATATAAACATGCCAAAGCAAGCAAAACAAATAGTGCAATTAGTCCAAGAATTGTACTTTAACTGATCAGGAAAGGGTAGAAGAATTTTTAAGGCCCAGAGATATGGGGTGCTTATAGGATTTGGGTGTTGTGTGTTAAATGTTTGAAGTCTCTTGGCTTTGAGAGCTAATTCCTCTATAAGCCTAAAAACCAGGGTCCCTGGCCTGGAACAATATATCATCTGGTTTCTTCAGTCTATGTAGATCTTTCTATCTGAATCCCTTTATGGAGTAACTCATTAAAAAAAGAACCAAAATGACACAATCACATTGAGAAATCTGCAGGAACCCTCAGTGACAGGACCAGTGAATTCAGAAGTGATTTAAGACTTTTTTCTGTAATAATTAAGCTTAAGAATGATGGGAAAAGGAGACCTAGTAGGAAACAGCAAAAAAAGGAACTATTGACCGGCCGGTGTGGTTCAGCGGTTGAGTGTTGACTTATGAACCAGGAGGACACTGTTGGTTCAATTCCCAGTGAGGGCACATGTGGGTTCAATCCCCATTGTGGGGCATGCAGGAGGCAGCTGGTCCATGAATCTCTATCATTGATATTTCTATCTCTCTCCCTCTTCCTTTTTCTGAAACCAATAACATATTTTTAAAAAAGAACTACTTGCCCTAACCAGTTTGGCTCAGTGGATAGTCAGCCTGTGGACTGAAGGGTCCCGGCTTCGATTCCGGTCAAGGGCATGTACCTTGGTTGCGGGCACATCCCCAGTAGGACGTGTGCAGGAGGCAGCTGATTGATGTTCCTCTCATCGATGTTTCTAACTCTCTCTGCTTCTCCCTTCCTCTCTGTGAAATATCAATAAAATATATTTTTTTAAAAAGTAACTACTCTAAAAAAAAAAAAAAAAAAAAAAAGTAACTACTCTACTTTTATAAAACAATGGCATCAATTCTTGATACTCAAAGTGTGCCATTGTGCAGCAAAACTTCATTTTTGACTTTGCAAGACTTTTTGGGGGAGCTCTTTTCCAGTTATACTTGGCTTAGGTTAGCATTTAAATTAATTTGCATTTCCTCATTAAGGAGAAATTATCTAACGCAATGTTAGAATTAAAATTTTTCTCCAATAATCCATCCAGTTAACCGTTTGTGAGATAAGCTTCTATACAGTGCTTTGCTTTAAGAAGTACTAAGTTCTTTCCATCTTGTTCAATCAACATTTATTAAACTGACAGCATTGCATTTGGCTCATTGGGAAATACAAATATTACAAAAATTCCATAGGGCATGAAAAATTAACACAAAACATTCCACAGTAATAAATTGTGAAGAGACTAAATGCATCAGAGAAGACAGCTATTATTTGGGTTTAGCAGCTTATTTTTCATAGTTGCAGAAATGAACTTTGAGGATGACCAGGATTTAAAGCTGCAGGTGACTGCTAAAGTGGGGGGAAGGAAGAAGTCTGAAAATGTAAGTACAGAAGCAAAAACAAGCATGGTCAGTATTTGCCAGATCAATCAGATCAGGGGAAGATGTGATTGAGAATAGTGATAAATTTAAAAGGTAGACTATAATCCATTGATTCATATTAGGTGAAGTGACATGTTTTAGGAAGATCAGACTTAATGGCCAGGATAGAGACTGGAGTCAGTGAAATAAGGTAAGACATTTTAGTAATAAATGTGGATGCACAGACAAGGATGCTGATATGGCAAATGGAGATGGAGGACAAATCCAAACAGGATTTTAAAGAATTCCATTTGACAAGAAAACACATCTCTATAGTCTAGCTTAAGTTAGATACAATGGTACTGTGGCCAAGAATTAGTGATACAAAAAAATTTTTTAATGTCTTAAAAAAAAAAACACTCTAGATCACAATATGGAAAATGTTCTAAATATTTAGTTCTATTGCACAGTAAGTATAACTTGTATAGGGATTTAGTCCCAACTTAAAATTGAGACCTACATTTACTGGTTCTTTATTTAAGACAGGTGGGGTACAAGTTTGACCCGAAAAATCATTTGGTCTGGTCCTGCTAAGGCATTAGGGGTAAGTTAATTAAATGTTTGACCAAATATAGGCTAATTTTTAAGTTGGTAATTTGTACGGCCCGGGAATGATGTTTTAAATGGCCCCTGGAAGAAAGAAAAAGGTTCCTCACCCAATTTAAGATACTCAGAAAAGGAATTCAATTTTCTAGGTTTCTCTTCCAATTTAGTAATTCATCTTTTAAGTGTCTACTCAGTATAATAGCACTGTGCTACATACCTAGGAGGAAAGCGTATGAGAGGTTATAAACTGTTAGAAGACAGATGTATGGTAACACTAAGGACCAATGGTACTTTTTCAATTAAGTATTTATCATGTGCCACATACTGCTTTTATTCCTTAGAAAATAAAAATTCATGAACCAAGAAAGTTGAGGTAGATGGACAGAGAAAGCCAGCCAGGTGACATATGCTATACTAGAGCACATACATAAAGTCTGTGTCAACATGCAAGGGAATGATTGTTTGATGGGTGTGCCAAAAATTTTCAGAGGTAATTTCTTCAGTACTACTTGCTAATTTAGACCAAGTAAGGCTAAGAAACTAATACAGTATTCTTAGTGACAATTTAAACAGGAGGCAAGTTGAAATTTGTTTCCTTTACATTTTTGCAATGTAAAGTTGGGGGAGATATGAATGACAAATGCTTAAGTACTACTCCCCAATAATTTTCAACTTTAAAATAAAATAAAATGGCACTAAGTAAACACATCAAGAGAAAAATATACTTTTTGATCAAAAGATACTACTCTGTGCCTACTTACATAAGGCCCAGAAAACAGGAAAACATAAACAGCCAACCTGACTTGCAGGTTCTTAAAGACAGTAACAATTAATGCCAAGAAATAAGGTCACTCCAGAAACTGTTTCACGCCATAAAAACTAAAGGCTTCTGAAAGCATATTCATTTTTTTTTGGTAGTATATGACCAATTTTATTCCAAGACTCTCCCCCCGCCCCCCAGCATATCTATTCCACCCAATTCTTACACTCTAGGGCCTTACTATTCCATACCTGAAGATGTACAGGGTGGCAGAAAACAAGCAGATCCATGTCTTCAGCATTTTCTCCTAAGATCTACAAATACTTTCCTGGTTTATGTAAGCTTGGTACTTGTGAAATTAAGCTCTATTCAAAACCTAAATGGATCCAGAAGCTGAAAAGGGAAATGATTTTGCCCAACAGATAAGAAGACAGAGGTAAAGTTACAGGAAGAAAACTTACCCCAAAAAGAACCAATCTCTAACTTTGGAGCAAATATATACACTATTTAGATAGTTGGTTTCCACCTTGCTGTATGGATCCTTTACAATAGGGAAAATTTCCTGTTGCTTTTGCATCATAGCTCCCTCTAGTGGTTAAGTGATTTCCCCTTGGAAAGTGAAATATTGTGGGGGGTTTTTTAATATCACCTTAAGATATTTAGCATCCCGACAATTGGCCATTTTGCTCACAGGCTCTCCATTTCCACTACCTTCACATTGATATCAACAGTTGATAGATGACACTTCTAAGTTGTAAGGTAACAGGAGTACATTTTATAACCTGGTTGTTGAGGTTAACTCCTTTGTACTTTTAAAGAGATGACAAAACACTTAGGACCCAATGAACTTAAAGTGTTGCTTTGACTGTGTTTCATACCTACCTAAATAGTAACCTCCTAAGCAAACAAAGCATGAATAACCTCTCTCCCTGATAACCTATTATGAGGTTACTTCTGCCTAAATTAACTTCTGGATGAAGTCAAAGACTAATTTATTTGCTATATACTACAGAATCACCAAGTGATTTTTGCAATAGTAAAAAAAAAAAATTCCTTTCCTTGATCACTAAAAATCACAATCAGGGTTAAGTATAGCTTTCAGAGCTAGGAAGAAGCACCCCAAAGTCCTCATTCACAAGAACAGTGCTGATTTAAGTATACTTTGACTTATTGCACCTATATTTAAAATGTCTGTAAAAGAAAAAAAGGTCTTTGCCAAGATGACTTTGTTCTACAGACAATATGAACAGATGTTTCCTTATAATTTTTTACTTCATGCCAATTCCAGCTATTTATATAGGACCAGAATAATTAGTGCTCCTGAAAATAAAGTACTAGAAAGAAAAAAACTACCCTAAAAGAATGCAGTATTCCACTGTATACACTAAGACGGCAAACTATTTCCTTCAGTGGAATACAAATGTTTTGAACCCACTATAGCAACAGAATATACAATGTTGAGTCATACCTTTTCTTTTCTTGCGGCCACTTCAGCCTAAGTTGGGGAACTTGTATCACTTAATATCCACGGTAACAGGTTTGTTTTAATCACATCCAAAGTTACACAATCTTTAGCTTTACGTATCCTATTATAATTCTACAATCCCCTTTCCAAACTCTTGAGGACAAATGTATGTGAAATTCAGAGCCTGTTTACAAAGATATGGCATACAGACCCTATATAAAACATAAAACCCTCAGCAAACCCCATGGTAACTATGACACACATCAGTACTTCTGCAGGAAGACAAGTTAGTCACAGTTAAGTACAAAATGAAAACACTAATTTTTGTCAGGTTTTACATTAGTCCAACAAAATCAGTTTTCAATGTCTTTTGGATAAGAAACTGTGAAGCCATTTCCTGCCTTTGCATTCTCCATACAGTAACAGAATTAAGTTAAACCAAAGGATGGTTATGTTACAATAGAACCTCAATCTAATTTCTCTCCTTTTAATAACTACTTTTGATAGTGTATTTATTACTTCATAGACAAAGCAAAAAGGCACATGTAAATTTATCTTCACAGAAACTTAGAAACACCAGCCCTAATGAGCAAGATGTTTCAAAGACAAAACTAAAAGTTGAAATTCTAGAATCATATTGCACTTAAGCACGAGTGGATATATGCACTAGAAATGTATGAAAGTGTAAAAATTAGTAAAACATTTTAAACAAGGGGAATCTGTTCATATTCCAAACATTAAGAAATTAAACATAGCTTAATTCTTAAAATTCAGATCCCAAAAAGGAATCAGAAAATGGGGTTCTTACCTTTTGTTTCCAGCATGTGGGCTGAACAGCAAGATGGGTTACTCAATCTGATGTTATGAAAAATAGGTGCTTCTTAGACTTAAGTTTTTCCTTGGTTAGAAAATAACTAATTATAGGCTCCCTGTAATATTCTAAGAGGAGACAAATAGGGAGAAAAGGTGGAAAATTCAAGCCAACTTTTTTAGTTTCCAAAAGGGTGGCTTTCTTCTAATAGCTGCCAATTCGGGTAGAGGTTTAAGAGCCATTCTCCTAAGACTGAAAAAAATAGGCATCTCCCCTCACAACTAGCTGTCTTGCTTTTAACTGCAAAACCTGTGCCCCTCTGTCATTTGCTAATACCTTGTCCTTTCTAATCTTCAAACAGCCTATCTTGTTTACCCCCGGGGTTCAAACTAAAAGTTTTAGTAGAGCACATCTTTCAACTTAGCTTAAATGTACTTAACCTTGAGTGAAGGCAATTTTCATTTTGATCTTGTTATCAAAATGTTCAGTAAACACAAACAAAATCAGGCTTAAATTTACCCATTTACCACTCCAAAATTAAATGTCATACCCTAAAAACGCCTGATCTCTTCCTAAGCAGTGTCAGGCCTGGTTAATAATTGAATGAGAAACATAACTTTAATCAATCTTTCTGCTTCTTGAACCTATTTTGAATTTACATAAACTTCCTTAATAAATCCATACCAATTGCTTTATTTAATATTTCAAGTGGAATCCTAGTTTTGAATATCCCTCTTCAGTTTTAAATCACGTTACCTGAACAGCTGTCTTAAGTTCAGCTTCCAAATATCACTAGCACCCAAGGGAAATGTTAAAATTTAATTGGGTGCAGAAAAAGAATGGTTTGATGGCTGTGAATAGCTATCAGGAAATCAGATGAGGAATTTTAGGTTAAAATCCTAATTCAAGCAAATGAAAAATTTAAAACCAAGGGACTATCAAGTAAAAAGACATAAAAAATGGTAGAATACAAGATATAATCACTGCTTTGACATGTTTTGGATACAGAATAATAACCTTATGTTTGAGAGGGGTTTACAAGGCAAAATTCTAAAGAATGATCAGCTTTTCATCAGCAACAACTAACTCGAATAAGCAGTTATTCTTCTGGTGTACTATTCACATTTTAAAAAGGAAGTAAATTGTGTTGAGAATTCTAATCTGTGCTGAATTTAAACATTTTAATACTTACCAATTTTTGAGATGAGTTTCATCAAGAATGTCAAAGGCTACCGTCAAGTTAACATTTACCAGCCATCACTCAAATTTTGTATAAAAGCCTATCTTATCTAGATGATCACCAAAAATAAGCAGCATCTATACATTTTAATAACTTTTTTATTATCAAAGTATTGGAAATTTCTTTCAGAGACTAGATCACCCATCATTCACCATGTTACATACACAATTGCCTTTCTCACCCTTTCTTCTCTTCCCCTGAATATTTTTACAATTAACAAGAATTGCTTGATACCATTAAATTACCTTTCAAGAACCTTTAATTTACTAACACATAAATGCAAGTCAGAATCTTATCATTTAAAGTATTAACTGATAGTCTCCCAGTTAAAATCTTAGAAGAGGAAAAAGGACAACCATGCATAGTTTTTTAAAAAACGTTTATTTTTCAAAAGAAAAACGGCAACAGCCATTTGGAAACCTACTTATTCTTCAACTCCAATTTCGTTCTTTAAATTTAGAAATGACTTACTGATTTACTATTTTAAACAAACCCCCCCCCTTTTCCCCTTTAAGTGTTTACCATCTACTCGTGCTGAATCCTTCCAAGGAGATTGCTCCAGCGTATATCTCCAGGTCCTCGCTTTGCTCCTTTTACCAAAAAATGCAAAACACAATTCCATCGTGCATCTTAAGGGCTCCAATCGTCAAAAATAGGAAGAAAAAAAATCTTTGGAATAGCCAATTAAGTTGAATAAAAAAAAAAAAATCCACACGAATGCGGTTTGGTTGGGGCAGGAATCCACTCCTATGTTCCTGGTAATCTGATCCCGCTCCATGAATCCTTGTAATTCATCCTCCCTATCCTATCCACATTATGATTTGAATCCAATGATCCAGCTCCAAGGATTGGGATCCAGTGAGCCCTCTCCAATCCAAACCTTTATAACCAGCAAAACCAAAAAAGAGGAGGCAAAATGTTAGATACTGTAATCAAAAAAGGTTTCTGGGGAATGATGAGTTATGTCTGTCATCAGTTTAACAGATGTACATCAATAACTATCAAATTCCCCAAAACAAGTTTCTGAATGGTGTTCAGATAAACTTTAGAAACTTAATCATCATAGAGACTAATTGGAAGAAGCATTTTATATTTACAGTTCAACTGATAATGCCAACACTTGTTACTGTACAGCGTTATTACAGGTTTTGTGGTTGCAAAAAGTTATGTATTTGAAAAGTATACTGGTATTGTTACCCACCTAAGTCTAAACTAAATCTAATGCTCCCATCTGCAATTTAATTTGTAAATTAAAGTGTTTTAAACATGAGTCAATTATGAATATAAGTTTAAAGGGGAAGATGATACTTAAAAGTATATTCCCAACTAGATTATCTACACCAATATGTTGGAATTCTATAATTTGCTTTCATTTTGTCTTAAAAAAATGAAATAGCAACGCTATATCAGTCACACAGAGGACATGCAGATTTAGCAGTATTGATATTATACTCTATCTGGTTGGAATTAAAGACACCCTGTACCCACATGTACACCAACAGCAGGTCACACATTAACAGTTGTAACTAAGCACTGTGACAAATTAGCCAGTTCTTCCCACATTAGTCCCTATTAAAACAAAAAAGGGGGGAAGGGAGCAAAATAAACTGTTACAAATGGGCAATATAATTTTTCCACAATTGCCAAGGTTTAAAGAGCAGAGCAATTGTAGGTAAAGATAACTGCATAAGATGTTTGCCACGTGTTTTAAGGTAGATGCATATATATCATTTTTAACGCTTGCCTTTTAGTATAAGGTCAATACTGCCAATTTCATCTGTGACAATAGCACTTGGAGTCATACCATTGCCTCCATTATTGATCTGATCCTCCTCAATCCTCCTTTTGACAATCCTAAAATGATTGAAATGTGCTCCACAATCCTTAATCCAAAGCATTCTTAATCCATCTCTTCAGATATGTCTACAGAAAGACACATGAAAAGCAAGATAAACATAAGAACTTCCCCAGGTAAGATAACCACAAACATCCCCAACATCCCCGTTCACACAAACCAGAGAATAGACATTTGCACAATATCACAGTCTGAAGAGAATGGAGAATTAACTAAATTTAAACAATCCTGTCTACGACATCACTTAAAATACAATTTACCAGACATGAGGGGAATGTAGATGTTAGGAGCAAGGGGATATTACACAAGAATGCAACACTTTAGCCCATTCTGAACAAAACAGTTTGAATTAAAAAAATGAAAAGATTGTACTGAGTAAAGGAAAACTGTATACAACATGGGTTCTACAAAAAGTGTCACCAATTATCTTATGTACGAGAGCGAGATCTGCTATGACGGGGAGAATAGCGTGGTGATCCTCTGCTTCTCCTTGGGGAGTAACTGCGACTCCTGCTGTTGCTTCTGCTACGGCTTCTGCTACGACTACGGCTTCGAGATCGAGATCTTCCATAACCTGGATTTCTGGGCCCATCAACTTTAACCCGGATGTAGGCAGTTTCTCCCTATTGAATAGACAGAACTTTCGATTGAAAGATCTAAGCTTTTACCTGTGTTCAGGCATGCTGAATGAGTACAATGTAGCTAAAACCAGAAATCTGGCACTTTACTTGGGCACCCTTGCCTGAATCTTACCTGAAAAAATCCACTGTTAAGACCACTGTATCCAATTCTGGCCAAAGAAAAAAATAAGTGTATAACCTACCTCATGAGATCTAAACTTAGTGTTATCCAGTTTTCGAACTGCATAGGTCATATCTTCTTTCCGTACAAACTCCACGACACCAGTGCCATCTCGGTAAACATCAGCATAACATACATCACCTGCTTCACGCATGTGATCCTTCAAATCCTGCCAGCTTCCACTTGGAGGCAGTCCTGAAAAAGTGACTTTTTTTCAACACCAACTACCCTAAATTTAAAATTTACATTAGAACAAAGACTACTTTATAATTAATGACTACATTTAAGATCGTGGGTAAAGAGCTACGATTCTGGAGACCGGAGCCCAAAATTATTTTTAAAGTAAGGATCTTCATATTCTAGGTACCGCCATCTAATTCGATAAACCTCCATTACAATAATCTTTGCTTAGTTTCTAAACAAGAAACTAAAGTAATTTGAGACCTGGCATAAAGACTTGCATTTGTTAAACTAGTCATGCGGGGAAAACTTAAAGTAGTTTCTGTCCCTTCTCATCAATCCATATTTAACAGTCAACTCACCAGAGACAACCACTCTGTTCTCAGATCGCCTGGATGGGGGGCCATAGCGCCCTCGGGGTGCTCCGCCACCTCCACCCCCGCCGCCGCCTCGGCCGGTACCGCGGCCGCTTCGAGGAAACTCGACCCGCAGACGGTATCCATCGTAATCGTAGCCGTCGCGACCATACACCGCGTCTTCCGCGTCTCTGCGTAATCATAGAGCGCAAGAGGGCTCAGAAAAAGGGACCCGCAGGGGCAGCGAACTCGGTCGGGACCCAGCGGTCCCCGCACATGCGCACCGGGGGTGGAAGCGCTCACATGCGCCGCATAATAGGGATGGCCCCTCCCCCACTCAGAAACACGCCGCGCTCCCGACCCCGACACCACACCGGCCCTCAACCCCAGTTTCACGCTCCGGGCGCGAGCCGGCTCCGGGAACCTCCACGGGGGCCCGGCCACCAGAAAGGCCAAACCGACTCAGCTCCTTACTCGACTCCCGCATGGGGGATAGCGTCTAGCCCCCTACCTCGGAGCCCGTCTCCCACTCTCTAATATTAAGGCCTTGGAGCTTTCCCCAAGTACTCCAACCGATTTCCTCAAGGCCGCAAGCCCCAGGTCGCCTCACCGCGGGTCCTCGAACTCAACGAAGGCGAAGGGTGGTCCTCCGCGGCGATTCTTGAGATCGATGTCGCGGATAGCGCCGTATTTGTAGAACACGTCCTCAATGTCCTTGGTTCGAATGTCTGGAGGTAAGTTACCCACGTAGATGCGACAATCGTTGTTCCCTGCCGGGCCACGAATCACACCACCTCCGGACATGGCGACGACGAAAAGCGCGGACGCGAGAACAGGCCTTCCCACCAAGCCTAGCGCACGGCAGAGCGAACCTGCAGCGACACCTCGGCTCCCGCGGCCCCTCCAAAATGGCGCCTTTATCTACTTGGCGCACGGATATGGGGGGAGGGAAGAAGAGCAGCGGGAGGAAGCAGCTATTTGACTTCAGTGCGCACGCGCAAGAGCGTAACGGGCCTGCGAAAGTACGCTCACGTACGCGCGACGTCACCCTCCGCGCGAAGGGAAAAAAGTTCCCTGCGTTCCCGATTTGCCAGTAGTTTGATTAGGGAGTGGCTGGCTTTTGATAAAAAAAAATACAGAGCCTTCGTTAAAGGGTTATTAACCCCTGTCGAGTCTTAAGAGATAATTTACTCAGGAAAAAGCCTTTTAGAGCAACTAGGCGCCTTGAAAACGATTGGTGAAACCTACCCTAGAGCCTGTCCCACCATGCTCTGCGGCGGTAACGGCCCTTGGCGGGAAAGACTCTCGGGGGCGGAGTCCAAGGGACGCGTCGGCTGTTCCGGAAACCCGGGCTTCCTCGGAGAGTGCGCCGAGTGCAGGAGTTGCGCTACACTGGATTCGATCAAGAGTCAAGGGGTGACTGTCTTCCTGCCCCAGGGATATGAGGCAGTTTGCAGAAATACCATAAAACATGATTGAAGCTGAAGAAATCCAGGGGAATGGGAAAATAAGGAAGGAGCGTTAAGATAAGAGTCATGGATAAAGTTAGTACACAAAATATCCGCAGTAATAGCCCGGTAAGTTCCTAGAGATGGATTGCAAATTTGATTCTGGTCATCCCAGAAGTCACAGTAAAGACGACGACAACACACACAAATAAGGGAACACAAGAATATTCAAAATCCAAAGTGCCTTTGAGATGAAAAAAAAAGATGGTTTAGAAGAAGGGCATTATTAGTTTTAAAAGTTGATTGCATTTTACAAATGTTTGGTAGTCCTTGTACACTCTGATGGTTTCCAAAATTATGTGTATATGTGCGTGGACTGTCTTCTGTAAAGAGGATTTGAAATTTTAATCAGATTCTTAAAAGGGCCTGTAGATCCCAAAAGGGGAAATAACCTCTGAAAATTTTAGAGGGAAGGACAGATTGATTATCCTTCAATGGTACTTTTTGAAACTGAGCTTTTAATTAAAAAGACAAGAACCTGATAATTTTTTAAATGAGAAGCTGACCAAAAAGGACACTATTTTAACAAATTTATTCAGTTTCTAGTGCTGTCCAAATCAGTTAGTAGCAGAAGAGATGAGAATTTTTATTTTTACATTGCAGGTATTATTTTCATTCAATAGTTATTTACTGAGCATATTTTCTTTCTGTTCAAATATTCATCCATCAATTTAGATTTATTCAGGTTCATCTTCTGTTGATTAATGTTAAGTCAGAGTGCTTTTTAAAAATATATATTTTATTGATTTTTTACAGAGAGGAAGGGAGAGAGATAGAGAGTTAGAAACATCGATCAGCTGCCTCCTGCACATCTCCCACTGGGAATGTGCCTGCAACCCAGGTACATGCCCTTGACCGGAATCGAACCTGGGACCTCTCAGTCCGCAGGCCGAAGCTCTATCCACTGAGCCAAACCGGTTTCAGCCAGAGTGCTTTTTAATTTCAGGACACTTTCATTCCAGAAAAATAAGAAAATTGAATTTGCTTTGATTTATTCTTGTCTGTTTGAATTAATGTAATAATTTCTGATTTTGTTCAGTTCAGGGGACTACAAGGTAGACTTTAATACAGAGTGAATAGGACATTCTTGTTTTTGTATCAGCTTCCTTTGTATTTGAATAGAACCTGTGTTCTGGGGTCCGTGGTCAGATCAGGATGTAGCAGGAAATGTCTGGATGGCTCTTTATCAAGATCTCCCAGGATGGCATTAGCTTAGTGATTATTACAGTTAATACTATCCATGTACCAGAGTTGATTAATAGATTTTAGTCCACAAGAAAGCAAATGAACCAAACTATTTGTTCATTTGTTGGTGGTAGGGCAGATTCATTTTCAATAACCAGATGCTCAAATTGTACATGCCAAGGTAAATGTTCGTGGCAGGTCTGGAAAGCACAACAGGCAATTGCTTGGTAAATGAGAAATTAAAACAAAATGAGGTGAGCCATTTTGAGAGATATTTCATTCAGATCATGTGAGACCTGATAAACAATGGAGTATATATACCTCCTCAGTGACAGGAAAACTCATAGCCCCTGGATTTTGTGTCTGTTCCTGGACAGAACTGGGTAAGATTGGCAATTCTCTTTCTTTAAAATAATAACAACAACAATAATAATAATATACATACATATATATTTTTTGTTACTGATTTCAGAGAGGAAGGGAGAAAGAGATAGAAACATCAATGATGAGAGAGAATCATTGATCGGCTGCCTCCTCCACGACCCACATTGGGGATTGACCCTGGGACTGGGACTGGGACTGGGACCAGAATCCGTAACCTCCTGGTTCTTAAGTCAATGCTCACCTACTGAGCCATGCCCACCCGGCTGGCAATAATTAATGCAATAATCTCTTCCTGTAGCCTAACCTTCACACAAACTTTCTCTAAACAGCCTGCTGAGACAATTGATAAGATTTCTGCTGGTTGGCAGTTCTGCCTCCAGAGATTACATCCATATCTTAATTAGGGGTTTAAAGTGTTTTTAAACTCATCAGTTACACAATCACAGGCAGCTTTATGGATTGCTGCCACAATTAATGAATTTATTAAGTATGGATTTTACCAGTTTTTAGTTCTCAGAAGCTGCTTTATTTTCAACACTGTCAATGGTTATGAAAAGTTACTTTCTCAAAAAGAAACTTTTTAAAATACTTTTGAGTCAATTCAGTGAGTATATGCCCTGTCAGCTCTGTATTTTCCTCTGGAAATAATTTTTTGGGGGAAAAAAGAAAAGAAAGAAATTCAAAAATTTAATTACTGTTAGGGTTGAAATGAGAAGACAGTTTTTCAGTGATTTGCAGAATATTTAAAAATCTTTAACACTGATGATAGCTATACAACTCTGTAAATAATACTAAAAATCATGAATTGTGTAGAATTACAGTGAGTGAATTGTATAGTATGTAAATTATAACTCAGAACTTTTTAAAAATGTCTGGGGAAAGAAATATCTCCACAATCAGCAAAATCACTCTCTAGTACCATTCCTCTAAAGGCATTATTGGGGTTGGGGGTGCTCTAGAGTAATTTGCACTGAAGTACGGCTTCCCTAATCTGGAAACACTTTTTAATATTCGTGTGTCTTCACTGTCTTCCCTGGGGATAACTTACATTTACCAGGTAAAGAGACACTTTCAAAGATTAGGAATATTTCATTGTACTGTGTATAGGAGGTATCTCCAGGAACAGTTCAATTGCATATCTCTGTTCCAGAAATTTTCAACCTGAGGGATTTTCAACCAGTGTGCTGCAAGAATTTTTAAAACATGCAATACCTAACTATTTAGTCAGGGGCACTAACCTCTTTTCCCTTTGATTGTCAAATAAAAAAACCACAACAGCCAGTACAACAATATAATCAAGTGTGAATGAATCAAAATTATACCTATTTTTTGTCAGATAGGCAAAAAATATAATACATTTTTTGGTGTGACACAGAAATTTAGTAATTAATTTTTGTGTGCCATGATTGAAAATCATTGCTCTCTTCTCTTGTTCCACTTGTTTTAGTTGTAGATACTCTCTGAAAAAGGAAGAAATATTATATATATCTTTTAACTTAATCTATATTCGTCTCATCTTCCCTGGTAAACTATGTTGAGGACAGATTTCTGTTTTATCCCTTTATTCCCAGTAAATTCTCTCTTCAAACAAATATTATTGACAATTTACTGACTGCTCTTTTAAAAAGGTGGGATGTTAGATGAACAGGATGTTGTTTCTTTGGAAACTGCATCATGCTGTCAGTGGATAGACAGAATGGTACAATAATTGTTTTTCATTTCACAGTATAATCAGGATGGCCACTTTTCAAACTCAAAGATGTCATCTAATAATATATTTTTGGTAATCTTATTTTAGGACTGGCCTCCCTCACTCAATGATTCCCCTTGTTTTGTTTTTAGCTAATGCTTTCCATCTTTATTGTTCCATTATTGATGACAATAGGATATGATTTTGCCAGAAAACAGCTCTTAAAATCATCTATTAGAAAGAGATATATTCTCACCATGTCTTCCTCTTCCTAATTGTTACTCCCTCTCTCCCTCTTGCTGCTCAGTTCTTTCTCTTAGAAATTGAAACTCCACTTCATATTGTACATTTCCTAATTTGATCGAGTAATGGCTCTTTAAGGAATTATATTTAAAATATGATAGATAAGCTTTATTTGCTAAAAATGCTGTTTTGGCAATTTAATCTTAAGGTCTGAATCCTATATAAATGTTAGCTATTTTATTATTACTAGTAGTTATATGTTAATACTGCTGCCAATTGTGTTAGAAATAATTTCAATAAAAATGTTTGATTTGAAATTTTGAGAGTGTGATTATTTTTTCTCTTTATTATTTTAGAAAATACCCCAGATTAACTAAAAACTCTCAGAATTACTTTTCTAAATTTGCTTGCAACATAGACTGCATGTCCATAAGCCTAAAATACAGGGTGGGGCAAAAGTGGATTTACAGTTGTTTGTATGGAAAATAATACAATAATTAACAGTACAAGAATAAACCCTTGTATTTTGTGTACTCACAACTAAACCTGTTTGCCCCACCCTGTATTGACTTATCTGGCCCTTACAGAAAAAGTTTGCCAGTCTGAGAAGAAAATAGCCTGTTTTTGTAATTTTTGCTTAAACCTAAATAAAAAATTCAGTTTTGTCACATTCTCTCTCTCATGTGTGTTTTTGTCATGGGTAAGATCTTACATTTTTAAGAAGTTGTAAACATAAGTAATACACATTTTCAAGTGATATGTTGCTTCTACATGCTTCATCAGCCATTACTACAGTTTAGTGATAAGGTACTAAGAGCTGGTAGAAACAAACTCCTTTGCTGGTCTAACAAGCCTAGAATAGAAGCTGTTGCTCTGCTCCAATTGGTTGCTTTTTTTTTTTTTTTTAAGTTTAGTTGCCTCGAAACGCTCAGTGCAAGGGTGCGAGTTTCTGTAATCATTCTTGCATTGAAATGATGTTGAATGCAAAGAATCCATACGAGTTTTGTTCAAAGTAAATATCTACTAATGTCTACTCACTGTGGAATTCGCAGATGACATTTCCAAAATTCGCAGATTGTGTTCTACAATTCTGGGATCCCACCAGTTTTCAGACTGGTGCTGGTTCCACCATGCAGGGCCCCAGAGGGCTACTAGATGTGGTGAGCAGTATAGTCAACAATCTAGACCCATGCCCATGGGATATTTCCTTGTCTGGCTGCAGTTTCTTCTAAGTTAATGTCTATTCTTTGTAGAATCCAGACTCCATGGGAGAGAAAATTATTTCCTTTGGCTTGTTGGGATCTATCTTAATATAAATTGATTGAGAATGAGAATGTTTGCCTTTATAGGAATTTCCTCTCTCCTATGCAGGAATACAACCTCTCCCTCTGCCTCAGGTCAACATGAGCCAACATCGATATATTTTCCAAAGTTTGGATTGTTCACTATTAACACCACATGTAGGGCATTCTCAATACATAGATAAGGTTGAATCTTGCCAGCCAAACATGGTCCAGGACATTTTTCCTTTTCCAATTCCAATTCCTCTAGTAAGTGATGAAAACCAAGTCTGACTATGCTTTATGTGGTCTTCTGGATCTTAGTTTCTGATAGAGTGCAAGCCACAGCTTAAATAAGAACATACACATTCCTGAAAAGCATCTACAACTGTACAGAGATAAGAAATATTTCTATCTACACATAACCCCCCATAATTTTGTGGTGGTAGAGCATGTCTTCACCAAAAACAATAATTTATATGCCCAAGTAGTATATTCAGCTTCTCAGTCTAAAATTTCTGCATTTAAAAAAATGCTTTATATTCACCCCTGCCCTTCTCACCCAAGGACACATTTTTCTGGTTCTCACTAATGACACTCAAATCTTCCATCTGGGTTTGTCATCAGGCTTAAAATTCCCACTAAGGGGTCATTCCTCAAAAGTCTTCTGGCTGGTGTGGCTCAATTGGTTGGAGCGTCATCCCGTACATTGAAGGGTTACAGGTTCGATTCCAGGTCAGGGCACATACCCAAGTTGTGGGTTCAGTCCCCAAATATGGCATGTTTCTCTCTTTTTAAAAAAATATATTTTATTGATTTTTCACAGAGAGGAAGGGAGAGGGATAGAGAGTTAGAAACATCGATCAGCTGCCTCCTGCAAACTCCCCACTGGGGATGTGCTCGCAACCAAGGTACATGCCCTTGACCGGAATCAAACCTGGGACCCTTGAGTCCGCAGGGTGATGCTCTATCCACTGAGCCAGACCGGTTAGGGCGGCATGTTTCTCTCTTGTCTCTCTCTCTCTTTCTCTAAAAAGAAAAAAAAATGCTTTTAAAATAATTTTTCCCAAGATAAGTAAAGGAATGTTGCTTTATTTTTTTTTATGTTTTTATTTATTTACTTACTAACTAGATGCCCGGTACACAACATTCATGCACAGTGGAGGGGGGTGGTCCCCTCAGCCCAGCCTGCACCCTCTTCAATCCAGGACCCCACAGGGGTCGGGCCTAAACTGGCAGTCAGACATCTCTCTCACAATCCTAGACCACTGGCTCCTAATCACTCACCTGCCTGCCTGATTGCCCCTAACTAACCCCTGCTCCTGTCAGCCTGATCATCCCTCACTGACTCTGCGTGCCTGCCTGATTGCCCCTAACTGCCCCCTACCTGCCAGCCTGGTTGCTCCTAACTGCTCCTCTCCCCGCTAGCCTGGTCACACTTTACTGCCCCCCTCCCCGCCCTGCCAGCCTGGTTGCCCCCAACTGTCCCCCTCTGCTGGCCTGGTTGCCCTTAACTGCCCTCCTCCCTAGCCTGGTCACCCCAACTGCCTGCCCCTGCCAGCCTAGTCACCCCTCACTGTCCCCCCTGCTGACCTGGTCACCCCATGCAGACCTGCTGTTCAGTTGTTTGGTCATCCCTCACTAAGCCCCCTGCTGGCCTGGTCGTAGGCAGCCATTTTGTGAGGGCATGAGGGTTAATTTGCATTTACCTCTTTATTATATAGGACACTG